TTTTTTTATGATTATAGCAATGTAAAAGTTAGTGTATATTATCCGCGTTACTAATTAATTAATCAAATGTTTTAAAGAAACATAAATATACGAAACATTCCTGTGCGTTATTTTAATGTTAATTTTAAAAAGTTTCCATTGATCTTAATATCTTTACACCTTTATACGGTTGTCAAACTATATATAACTAAGTATAGTCTCGAAGAAAATGTGATATTTTTAGCAGTGAGCTTGCGGAAAATTTACGACTCCGCGAAGTATCGTGAATCTGACTTTTTGATTTCACGCTCTTGCGCGTAAAGCACATCCACTCGCATTTGCATCGACGGTGATCCTTGGGACAGTCAGATCTCTGATATAAACAAACATTCACGAACTATATTCGCGCGTATGCGTATATCCGATGTATCTCGTCTTATTTATGACACAACTAGATTTTCTTGGATTTTAGAGACCGTCTCCGTCGTTGCAAATATCTTTGAATACTCATTTCTTTCGGAAATGACGGTGCTGACACAACCGGAGAATGTGCAAAATCCGCTCTATTTCTCTAGTGTAATAAATTGCATTTTATATTTGTAACTGCAATGGAAATTATATATCTTTGAATCGTTCTTGAGCAATGCATTAATATGGAATAATGTTATACACAAAATTGTAATATATTATATTACATAACGTATAAATGTAATATTATATAACGTGAATTATGTTATATGGTTAAAAATTAAAACATAAACTTATTCTTTTCTTTTTTTAATATTGAACATCGAAGTGTATTCTGTTACAAAACAGAGAGAGAGTTTATTTTTTTTCTATCAATAGATAAAAAATTATAAATAAAAAAAAACCAAAGGCAATAGCTGTTAATTCAATATTAAATAAACTGGAACAGTATTATGAAATTAATTTGTACTGTAAAGTTCACAACATGTCATTTACTTAATTGTATATTTTATTTAAAAAATTTAATAATTTTCTACTTCGATAAACAAAAAATTAAACATTCTTATTAATTAGTTCTAAATTTGAATTTATAATTGTATTTTTTTCTCTTTCTCTTTTTAAATGTATTCGGTGGCCACATCAAGATTGCTACGAAATTATAGAAGGATTTTTCAACATACAGACCATTTTTAAACTTCGCTCATAGTGAGACAGATTTAATTAATTTCGACCTCTGCAACGAAAGTATGCATTCGCGCAACGCGTAGACAGCCGTAATAAACTCCACACTACTTTCAATTTTATCGTTTACTGGAAAAGGAATATTTCCAAACGCCCGTTACGCATTTATGAAACCGTCACGGCGCCGAGATAACTGGATTTAAGACAGAACGTAAATTACTTTACGAGCAAAACACGCTTTTGTTTATCGAATCATTGTCCGCTTATTCGATTCTGCCTGTTCTCAGATCGAAATTTATTTTTTAGTAAACAGGTTTTAGTTATTTATGTTACATTTAATTACATATATTTTGGTATTTTTTATATTTATATATAATTAGTTTGTTAAATATTGATTATTTTGTGATATTCTGAAATAATTTTCTACATTCAACTATTAAATATTGATTATTTACAACATTTACATTGATTCTGACATCCAAAATTAAGAAATTTTATGAAAAATTAATTTTATTCAAACACATATAGTTATACTTTTTGACATAAAAGAAATGTAAAATAAAACATAATTTTTTATATCAGAAAGAAAGATCTGCTATTTAAAGAAATATTTAATATTTTGTGTGAATAAAAAATGGTGAAATTTGGCTCGATTATCCACTAGAGTTGAAAAATAAATAATATCTTTTAATGTAATTTTTTTGCGCGTCTGTATAGTAACATATTTTTCCTCTATATTTGTGGATCTGCTGTTTAAACTCGATATCACGCGAATGGATATAAATATGTAGCATGTTATGTATTTGTATGTCAAAACTGTAAAAACATATCGCTATTATTAAAAAAATTTACTGCATATCAATTATTACCCATTTTCTGGGTAATATAAATGCATATTGAAATACCAAATATTAACTACGTATTATTAAGCAAGAACAATTAGAAATAAAATTGGAAATATAAAATTATGACTACAGAAAAAATTTAATTAAAATAGGTTAACAGTAATGTCTATATTATCACGACATTGCATGTCTGACATTTCATCATGAATTTGTTAATACTGCGAGTAAATTTGTAAAGTGCATAGTATAAAGCTTGGAAAATTTTTTGCTATTTTAACGAATACCACTATTTAACTTGAAAACTTTATATATATAAACACTATCAAATTTTAAAAGATTTTAACTTCTAAATATTTATGTCAAGATAAAAGGAATTTTAAATATATTTACATTCTTGCGTTTCTTTTACAATGGCTTTCCAGCTATGCCAAAAGCTCTGTTCCGGTAATTAAAATTTTTAAATCTTTTGATCATCATGCTATATTTTGGACTAGCGTTTTATTAATTTTGTTCTTTAAAAAAAAAATAATATATAATTACAAAGCACTGTAAAAACGCAATTTAATATGGAATAACGGTTTTATAAACTTTTTATCATTTGCTTTTCAATATGCTTTTTTAGCTCTTTATGTACGTTTATGAGCATAAAAATATATCGTGATAAATAATGAAATCACACAATTTCGCACAAAGAACATAAATTTTATGTGTATATTTTATGTGTATATACATATTTAAGTAAAGAAAGAAATGCACTCACCAATTAAGATATTGCTGTTTGCTTCAACCGCTCCAAATTCTTGCGTTAGACTATTTCGTATCAGCTCCTTTGAAGAACTCACAAATACCGGAACCTCACACTTGTTAGTTACATACATACACTACCGAACAAAAATAAATTTACACGTATTATTTTCGAAAATCACGAATACACGTCGCGAATTTGCCACACTACGAAACATAAACGCGAAATAAAATATACTTTATTTCACACGAGTCCGTACATAAATATGATATATTCAACGATCTTTTCAGCACTGCAAACATAAACATACGTTGAAAACATACGAACGAGACAAACAATGATCACCTTGACGGTATAGTAATATCACATACAAGTATTTATACGACAAAAATGTATACTGTTTGATTGATTAATATAATCTCAATTTGTAACATGCTACATCTAATGAACAGTATGTACCAATCCCGTTTTGGTTCTCTCGAGCGAGTATAAGCATTAATTTTATCTGAATTGTACCGGCTACACCGATTTCAGTCCATGAGAGCCGTTGTTAACGCGAACATCCGTGATAAATGATACTTTCCGGCAATCGCCCGTCACTGTATTCGACACTCCCGATAAAAATTTGAACTTATTATGCACTTTTAACTGGTAAAATATACGATTAATTGCAGAGCATTCGTGCTATATGTTTCAAGCCGACAATTAGAAACCGTTAGAACTATCATGGCGGATTTTTAACTGTCAGAGTAGCCGAGGGTGACGCGCGTATTGCATTACTAACGGATGCTTTCCATTTAGCGACACACAAGTCGACACAAGCGTCATTCTGTTTTTTTTCAACATCCAGTGAACAACAAAGGTAGAATAATGCTTGTGTCGATTTATATTGCTAAATGGAAACCACCCAATATCGATATCAGAACTACGTACGCCACCCAGTGATGCCAAATGTAGACGTAACTTCGTGTGTAGTATCACTAATATAAATGTCGATACTACCAATACAATAGAGGGCGGTATTTATACAGATTGTGTGTGACGAAGAGAGCAAATATAAGTCCGTGTTTAAGACGACCTTGAATATAAGGACTATGGCCGGTATTCATAGTTGTTTCTTATATTTAAGATTGTCTTAAGTCGTCGTCATCGTCATCTTAAGATACTAATATGGCTTTTTGATTGGTTCATAGCATTTTAAGACAATACTTAAGACAATCTTAAATATAAGAACGGACTATGAATACCGGCCTATGAGTACCGTCCAGAAACTGTTAAAAACTATCATAGCGGATTTTTGACTATCAGAGTGGCCAAGAGTGGCGCGCGTGTAATATCAGTAGTAGAGACCCTTTAATAAGAGACTGGCCAATTTGACAGTTGCAACC